AGTGTTAGGAAAATGGGCTGTTTAGCAATTAATGTCCAGTAGGTAAGTTCTTTTGATGTTATGTAGGTGAGATTTTTGGTGAGTTAATTATAGGTTATAAAAAAGGCAGTATTGTTTGTTTGTTTGTCTGTTGTCTCTATATATCAATTGTCTTAAGTTTTTAATCAATAAAATATTTTTTTTAAAAAAAATGAGAAATGTGCATGCTGAATCAGACCATCTAAGGTCCTCTGCAGACTGGCCCAAAGGGCCAGCCTGGAGGTATAGATGGGGCAGGGCAGCTGCAAGCTGGCCACCTCAACCCACGCTGACACTGTTCTGATGCTGTGTGCCATTACGCATGGTGCACGGCATCAGGACGCTCTCCTGGCACAGCGTTCTGACACACTGCACTGGAAAGGGCACTGAATAGCTGCACACCAGCTCTTAGGGCGGCCTTTTGCCACCCCTAAAAGGAGTGGTATTTTGCCACTCTTTTCAGGGTGGAAAAAAGGAGGATTGGGGCCATGGCTTGGGGTAGCCGCGGCCCCAATCTGCTGCTTCCCAGGGCAGCCCAGAGCCACCCATCTGCACACCTCCTAAGTCTAATACTGTGAACTCTGACTGGTACTGGGTCTTCAAGGTTTGATGCTAGTCCCCTTCCTTACCCTACCTAGTATTTCCTGGTTATCTCCCATCAGGTACTAAATCAAACCTGGTCCTGCTTAATTTCCCAAATGAGATAAGATTGGCATACTTTAAGTAGTATGGTGGAGAATAATAGAAAGGGAAAGGACTGTAAGAATGTCTTTAATTTATTTGACTGTGCATTGCTTTGGGAGCTTTGGTTAGCTGAAAAGTGATAAACATGTAATTTCAATAAAGAAAGAAACAGATAAATGAAAACAATGTAATGCATGCTGCTGTATTTATCAAGTCACCCCTGTATGGGTCAGTCAGATATAACATATATAACCATGCAACTCGGGCAGAGTCTCATACAGATTGATATTACATTTTAGTCTTTGATTACCCTTAACAGGATTTGTAGTTTGCACACAACAAAGTGTACAAGATATGGTGCAATGTCCCATGTCAACAAAAGACCTAGTTTAGACTGAGCTACGTTAATGATAATCATAAAATTTATTTAT